CCCCCCCCCCCCCCTATTGTGGAGGTTTGTGGAGGACTATTTTCAGGTTTGTCGGAAAAGTACAGCCCTTGCCCCCCCCCTCCAAAAAAAAAAACATGGGTCCCACGGCGGCACCGGAGACATGAAACTATATCCCGTCTTTGTTCTTGTGCCTTCGTGCAGAACGAAGTTGGCAACGAATTTTGCCAAAATATTCGTTGTGAACGAAGGCAGAAGAACGAAGACGGGATATGGATTCATGTCTCGCTGTTTTATCCTGATCAGGGTAAGGATTTGGGTCAACATTCACAAACAGCTAGACATGAATCTCTAATCTGTCTTCACTCCTGACCCTAAACTCAGAATGTGCAAGATAATGTGCAAGACAGGCAAAAATTGTCAACCACGTCGTCGTCGTCCGACTTCGTTCTCTTGCTCAAACTCTCTATCCACCCGTCGACTGTACCACCGGCGGCGACTGCGTATATGCGGTGCATGTAAGTCAGCCCGTTTCCAAATTCTTTATATTTTGCTTATTATTCAAGTTATACTCAATAATATATTATGAACGCAAGGTGAAATCGTGGAAATTGAAGTGCGGCTTCGATTCCCCTTGCCCTTGGAAACGGCACCGAACAGTGTATATATAGACATATAGCCGTGTTTACACTACGAGCCTAAGCCTGGCCTAGGCCTACCTTTTGACTAGATTTTTGTAGTGTAAACGTACTTCGACCTGGCCTAGGCCAGGAAATCTAGGCCCATCAAAACAGGTGTTCCAGATTTCCTGACCTAGGCCAGGTCGAAGTGCGTTTACACTACAAAAATCTAGTCCAAACGTAGGTCCAGGCCAGGCTTAGGCTCGTAGTGTAAACACGGCTATAGACTATAGATGACTTACCTTTCAATTGCAGGGAAACTACAATCCATAGTACAAAATGAAAACACTTTGGAAACATCTTCTTTAAAATCAAAGAAAACAACCTTTTGAGACAAGAAGTAACTTGTATGCGTTTACGTTGTGAACGCGGAAGAGGAAACAACAGGAAAACGATGAATTGTTGCTATGCAAAATGCTCCCAGAACATTGATATATGATATGATATGATATGTACTTATATGACTTATCAATGTCCCGGAGTCATATTACGAAAGAATGTTAGTTCCTATTCTTGAAGCTATTAATATTTGCGCGGAAAAAGTGCAACATGTTTGACATTTCGTGTCTTCGTCAATAATCGTTAAATATTTTCAGTGTATAGGATCGGTCATTAATAATGAGGGAAAACTGGGATGGCTTCAACTATTTTGCCTGAATCTGGAGGTTGTCTCAAACTGAAAAATATGTGACAAGGGGCGACCCCAATTTTTTAATGCTTTTCTATTCATTTTCCATCTCTCGCCTTTATCGTATCCCACAAAATAGTTAACCTTTTTTAGTTCCTATAATCGTAGTTCATAGGAGTCGGAGTATTAAATAACAACCATTTTGAATACTCGTCCTCTAATTATTTAGGCTACACAATGTCTTATACTAGTATACGTGTCCATTATTTATTTTACACAAAAAACGCAACGAATTAAATGTTGGGGGGGGGGGATCTTAAATTTGGTGATGATGATGAAGGTGGAGGCGTCTCTGATGAAGGTGGAGGCGTCTTGAAAATAAAGGTCCGTGCAATATTTGGTATTTATCACGCCCCCCTCCCATTATTTACCGCGGTCCCTATGATAGCCACCGACCATCGGCATCGTGCAAATATAATTTATTGTAGCAAGCTTCTTTAGTCTGCTTCAACTAAATTACTAAAACACTAAACTTTTAACTCACCTTACTATTGCATCGTTTTCAACTACGTTTGAAAAATCTTCGCCATAACCATGCACGGTAATTTCCAGCAGCTACGATATTTCACAGGTAGTATATGTACATCTTTTAACACACGATAAATGTATGAAAAGGTTTTGCCGCCATGTTGGAAAACTTGTTCTTATACATGCATTTTGTGCTTTTGTCTGTAAAGCGTAAAATGTCTCAAATTAATTTGCAAACATTTCACTGAAATATTTCAAAATATCTGTAAAAAGATGCATGTTTACAGACATTGAGAGTTGAAAAACAATTTGAGATTTTGCAGAGATTTTGTTAGAGGAGCCCTACAGTCCGATCTGCGCATGTGCACAAAAGAGCCCACTTTTTATGATACAAACAGTTTAACTATATTTTGGGTTCTTGCAAAGCCTGATTGTTGTTTCTTGATCATTTATTATACTCTAGAAGCTTGAAAACATAAATAGTTGTCGAATAAAGCTCAATATTTTGGACACAAAAATGTAAACAAAGGCTTTGTGTACATATGGACTGTAGGGAACCTTTAACTCAGGGACGCCGGAACGTCGTGAAGGCAAGGGGGGATATTTTCGTGAAAGGGCACTTTTGAATTGATATATACCAAGAGATGTTTGTAAAACACCGGGAGTTGAACTTCGCCTAATCATATTTTCTATTTATTGAATGATAGGGGTATGAGGGGGTTCTCCGCCAGGCGATTGTGCTATTCATGAAGCTCGATGACTGCATTTCTTGGGTTTTCTGAAGCAAATTCGTAAAAGAATTGCACTAACATTTCTGACAATTCGCTATTTCGCCAAGGCAATCCTTTAAATTGAAAGGGCACCTTTGCCCCCTTGCCCCTCCTTGTAAAGGCCAACGGGGGCGGCTGCCCCTCCTGCCCCCCCCAGTTCCGGCGTCCCTGCTTTAACTTTTAGTCTAATGAATTATTTACAAATATCAAATTTTGGTATTTGTAAATTTTTATGGCAACAATGTTTTGAAACAAACCGCATGCATAGCGGCAAACATGCCCTTTGAAGTCTTTGACATACTTTTGTTACAATATTTCATACTTTACATGCAGTATCGGATTATCTCAATCAAGTATATTCTATATAACACTAATCTTTTAACACTCACCTTTTCCAAACGTAGTTGGGAACGATGCAATAGTATCTTCGCCACAATCACGGTAATTTCCAGCAGCTACGGTACTTCACAAGTAGTATACGTATATCTTTTAATTAACACGATAAACGTACAACAGTTTTGCCGCCATGTTGGAAAACTTCATTTGTGCTTATACATGCATTTTGTACTTTCTTCTAGCGTGAGATGTCTGAAATTTGCAAACATTTCACTGAAGTATTTCAAAATATCTGTAAAGGTGCTGCACGTTTACAGATATTGAGATTTGAAAAAAAGTTGAGATTTTGCAGAGATTTTGTCGAATGAATTATTTACAAATATCAAATTTTGGTATTTGTAAATTATCTGGCAACAATGTTTTTAATATTAAAAACAAACTGGAAAAGCAAGGATTCATCTTTTAGCACTTACCTCCTTCAGATGTCAAGAACGAAGTAAAAGTCTCTTCACCAAAACCATAATAATTTCCAGCAGCTACAGATATTTCATATGTAGTATCTGGAGTGAGATCATTTACTTCATATTTATTCACTTTTCCTGTGGTAATGCTCAGGATTAAAGAGTTTTCTTTTTTCAATTTGATCGAAAAGCGTGAAATACCAAGTATCCCTCGAATTTTAGGATCTAGCCAAGATATTTCAGCACTTCTAGACATGATGTTTGTGACGGTGAGATTTGTTGGCTTGTCTGGTAACAAAACTATGGGGAAAGTACAAAATATAATCATAAAATGTGTGATAAATAATTGTGAAAAGAGGATTTGACATATATTGACAAAAAAAACCCAGAAGGTATGCGGATACTGATCTTAGAAAGATAATGTCATCGTGATCCAGAGTGGAACTTGTAGTCATCCACCAGTCAATGTCAAGTAATCAGGCATAAATTATGCATGCATTAATTTGGTTCTCTTCAGCTGGGGAAGTAAGACCAACTTTTGCAAATTATCTGCTCCTATTTCAATTTGACCTTGGTCTACGTATTGTCTACTATTATAATAATTCCAAAAAAATTCGTATTAGGCATGAAGAAATCATTTGATTCTTTTCGGTTAGAGATAACTACTGTTAAGTTATTTTATCGGAATTTTAGAAGATCAAATAATGTTTAGCAACTTACTAGAACCACTAATGTCGACTCTCATACATGGTTGACCTACGTATGTTAATGGAATGAATCGTAAAGCCCTCGCTCGAACTGAAATAGATCCCCAGGCTGCATGATCGTAAGCATTTTTGTTTCCTTGAAGTATCTACAAACAAGAAGAGTAAAGAACAACGAAATATCCCAATAATAGGTTAAATAATGATGTACATGCTATTATATTCTTATTGTTGGCTAATATCATTCTTTCTCACCCGGCTTAGCGTTTTCCAGTTCACCAAATCAACAGTGTATTCCAAATTATATGTGGCAACCCATTTTTGGCCGGAACTGTCACCATACGTTACGAAAAAGTCGAGATCATACTGTCTTCCTAAGTCCACTTGAAGATAATGTTTGTCATCTGAAACAGGAGCACACCAAGAACTACCACTAGACATCCTTGCATCAGAAGCACTGTGACCTTCTGAAGAAGCAGACGCACTAAATGATGAATCTGGAAATCTTTGTTCATCTTCTAACAGTGGCCGAAAAGAACCACCTAAAATATGCAAATAAATTTTGATGAACGATTGATCACATTGAAGTTATTCTTCGAGTGTCATCACATTCCATTTTTATTTTAATTAGTTTCTTCCTATTTCTTTTTATATTTTCTACCACTTTTACCTTTGCATCTTATTCGCTCCTTTTTATCTAGCTGAATTGTACCACACTTACATTGTATGTATGATAACTCAGAACAACTGTCGCCTGTTGATGCAGTAATTGAACACTGGGATAAGTATTTCTCTTCACCATTGCAGTTTATACTTCCAGAAAATGTTGCATTTTTGGCATCCGTTGGAGTGGATATATTAACAAGAGAGAATATCCCGTTGTATCCCAGGTGGCGACAAATAATATCTTTGGCCTGGTTCTTTAAACTTTTCCAACAAACATTCTTGGTCCCACTATCAGTGGTGATTTGTACAACACCTTTGTAAGGTAGAGATGAATATGATAGAGACACGTCATGAACTACAAAAACATGGAGAGAAACAAGGTTATTGTGCCATGTAGAGCTATATAGTGGGGTGTCACTGATAATGATATGTTCAAAACATGATTATGTGTGTGCTAAATGGAAGTTGAAACATTTTTAAATACTGTATATGAGAACTTGTCTTGTGCACAGCCCTTAAGAGAAGTTGATTGAAACTACAAGTTGTAACCATCAACAGAACCATACTTATTATAACTACGCGTACCACAAGGTTCTCTGTAAGGTTTCACAGTATCAACACATTGATATTCAAAGTAAAGATAGTTTGACAATCCAGGACATAGATCACCAGAGAACAAATTGTCATCCACAGTTATATTACACTCATGTAGACCATCACATTGTTTCTTAACAAGACATGTTACATCAACTTCACAACTATAATCATCACTTGAGCCACATGTCTTTGGTGCAAGCAATCCACGGTAAGTTGCAAACTTGACCACCATGTATTGATCTTTAGGACAGTTGGCATTCTTCACTTTATCACCATGACATGTCACTGAACCTTAAATAAAACAACAATTGTTTATATTTTTTTTAAACTCAGCCAGTCTATCGTATTTTTGACAACTTTGAAATTATATATTTTTGTAGAAACACATAAAGAAAACCAGTTTTCAAAAACTTTTCATGCATTTCATAAAAACACAATGTTCGACTACTATACCGACCTTTCCACCTTGTTGTATAATTGATATTTTGCATTTCGTTACCACTGACAACGTCTTTATGCAAGCATTTAAAAGATGTTTAATTAAAAGAAACTTACCGAAAATAAATCTCTGGTATGATATATCGCATCGTGTCGTCAATCCAAGATATTGAAATATTCCATAATTTACTTCAAGTTTCTGGCTATATCTAAGCTGTGCACACCAAGTTTGAAATGAACTCTTATCTTTCCCTTTATAATAAACAGATAATGCTCCCTCTGGTGTCTGGGTTATTGCACGATAGATACTCTCGTTAGGCTTCTGAGCGCACGCAGCTGTGTCTAAACTGGCTGAGTCAACGTAAAGATAAAACATATCAAGATCATAACCAGAACCATTCCTATGAAGAGCAGCGAGACATCCCTGTCTTTTTAGATTTAACATGGCACCATTATCACGAAACCGAAACTGAGCAGCTGGATCGAAACAGCTACTGAAAAGTTTCAGAAAAAACAAATTTCCCCAATTGCCGTTTGACTGTACTAGACCTGTATCTTTAATACAACTTCCTGCGGTATAGCTACCGATGAACTCTTTCACAAAGAAGCATTTTCCACCTGAAAACGATACAATTAAATACATGTAGACATACTATGATGGTCTCTTATCGTCTGTACGTTATTATTTATGTATTGCTCTGTAAATACCAGGCATTGCCTTTAAGTTTTTGTTATGAAATAGAAACTTTTTTTTCTGTGTTGGTGTTGTGTACTCAGGTGAATAATATGATGTTTGTGATGTTACTCTGAGTATATATCCACACCGGGCGAGCTTGAAAAATATGCCCGGCCAAAATATGCCAGGTCGTAGGTTCGATTCCCACCGCCGTGGCCGGGCATATTTTTCGCCAATAGAAACTGTTTAATTAGCTGCTCGTCCGTTTTATGGTTTCTCATTGATGTTTTTCAAATCAAATTGTCACTTTTAAAAACGGCAAGAGTACCACAGTTTTCAAAATGTACAGTCTCCAATTATTTTGCTGGCACTAACTTTGAGTTGCTCTTTTCGCTCATGCATGGCACAGTTAGATAGAATTCTAACACTCAATTTTAAATCGACTCAAAAAGCATGATATAAAAAGGTGTATTATTCAGTGGCCAATATACATTTATAAATTTGGCACGTTATATATATAATTATTTTATAATTGAGTCAGTTATATACCGCGGGCTGTATATAGTATATAGCCTAATTAATATCAATTATACATAAGAAATGAGGAAAAATCTAGCAAAATCTTTGTCTTAAGTGAACGAAATTGGCAAAATATAATCGGAAAACCTCTTCAATTATAAAACAAATCAGATAAATACGTCGAACTTCGGCTGTATGTTATATCAGGATGCCAGCGTCCTCGGGGCTGTGTACAGCATAAATTCCTCTTTCTCGTTTCGGTATTTACCTCTATAATTCACATGTATGATGATAACATGACGTGAAACCTACTATGCCTAAACCACAAAACCTTACCATTCAGCAACAGGGAAACGACAACCAATACTATTACAAAAAGAAAACACTTTGGAAACATCTTCTTTAATCGAGGAAACCGACTTGAAATTTTTTGAGTGAAGACGTAAGAATTTACGTTCGAAAGCTAGCGGAAGACGAATTGTATCATTGTTGCGAAGCAACATCAGATAAACAGTCTTTATAGAACCTCGGCATGAAGTCTCAATTAATTTATTTCTAACTAAAAAGAACTCTTTAATCGAGGAAACCAACCTCAAATGTTTTGGGACAAGATTTTAAAATACGTTATAGGAAAGC